GTTATTGGATTTTTCAGGGAATGAGGTCACTGATCGTCGCACAAGCATGACGGCCTATTTGAACGTTGAACTATCTAATTACCATCTACGCATATTGCATCTATTTTATTATTATTATATTATTATATTATTATTTCCTTGAGTTCTCAGTGGAACGTACGGCTTCAAAAAGACATCTCAGATGTCCCCTCCTAATATGGTATAACAGTAGATGACTTATATTCTCTCTTATTTATGTTATCACTACTAGTTTCACAATTATTTTTATTTTGCTTTTGGCCTTTTTCGATCTTCCTCAACGCAAATACCAGAAATATGGAAGATATTATTACCACCAATCAGTCAAATCAGAAGAGGATAATAAATAATCTCAAAATTCTATTTCATTTCAAGCACATCGCAACATTCTAACAAGTTACTTATTTTGAATATAAAAACACTCGTCTTATTTCCCATCTGATTGTAATTGATCAATAACACTCACATTATTATTTCTGAATGTACATTATCCCATAGTGATTTTTATTCCAATATCTAGTGAATTCCACTCATGTATATAAATGAAGGAAAACGTGGTGTGGGTAACTTGATATGACTATGAGCAATAGTTTGTGCTCGAAACTTGGTCATCAATTAATATTACTATATACTACTGTGTGACTTATCAAATAAAGTCTAATCCATAATAGACGTTTACACCATGTCCAGAACTCATAGTCAGGTCCTGCATCGTTGACGTACTACTACTGCTATTATTCCCTTGTATTCTAATTGTAGCACAATGTCCTCTGAAGCCTTTTTTAGCCGGCACCACGATTTCCCACAAGCTTTTATCCCTTCCTCAAATGATCCTCTTCATTTTGCACTCAGATCCTCGCTTAACTCATCGCTTTCAAACCGGTTTCCATTCGAGGCCTACAGCTCCCTCATAATTGACGAAACAATTCTCGAGTAGAAGAGGAATGAGACTGACAGTGAATCAAATTTCCTTTGGATACCGAAATTATTCAAGGGTAAATGCACGAAACCACATACTACTTAATGATTGAGAGGACTAGTAGTATATCACGTTTATCAGCCAATAGTGATTGGTTAGACAGATCGAAGTGATCTAAACACCTAACTACCGTTTTTTTCGTTTGAGGCTGAGCTCATTAGTGGTGTACTCAGTTTAACCTAAGCTCAGAGAACTTGAAACATTTATTTCCCGATACGAATTTAAAACAAGCAACAAAAGTTAATAAAGCAGGATTTAATGAATTCATCAAAGTTCAAACTGTGTACATCAGCTTGAGTGTGTTTTTTAGAAGCAAACACATATGTAACGACAGAAGACAAGGGCAAGGGAACAGATCGTTTATTCAGAAAATCAACAGAAATTTAGAGATTTTTATGTACATTATTATTTGTGTTTGTGTTAGCAGAGAAGCAACGTCTTCTCATTGGTTGTTTCTTGAAGAAGGTTAGTCTGTACTGCTTGTGACCCTTTTTTAGAGTGTTAAGCCATATATCTGCGAATCGTATTTGCACATGTTAAGTCTTCTGTGATTGGTTGTTGAGTTCCTCAAGGTTAGTCTTTGTTAATGTGTCTTCTCATGACCCCGATTCGGGACGTAAACATAGACGTCAATTGTTGTCTACATCTTTGTCTTGCAGACAGCTCTCTCCACACATAGATCGCACAAAAATGCGATTGTCCACTCATATAATGGAGAATTTACCAAGGTGGCTGAAAACAGCTGAAGTCAAAGTATCAAAAAGCCCACTAAAAAAGGCACCTTGTAGACGACGGACATGATACTGACTCTGTCAAGTCATTCACTGTTGTCATCAGACAAACAAACAAGAACATGCCAACTATTACGAAAACTTTTACAATTAGAGTTTATAAACCGGGTCTCTGTGTCAAAAAGGAAATAGTAGTCACTCTGAATCCACCAAGATATTATTTTATTTATTTATTAACTGTTATTATTATTATTGTTGATTCCGCCTGACATTTTACATTAAGAAGTTAAGGCACTCGGGTATAACTCAACCCCTCCTCTTACAGTTCATAAACTCTTGCATCCTACCTATTCTTCTTTATTGTCCACCCTTATCCTTTCCTGGTTAGCTTAAAAAGGACTATGTCACAATTCGTAGAATGCTGAAGACTGTCAGTAGGATGAGTGGTGTCCCAGTGGACCATATAGGTAACGTCGTTTTCGATAGGCACTTAACTTCAGGCAATAAATTTGCTAAATTGATTTCGTCTGACTTGAAGCATCTACTTTACCCTCAGCTTTCACCTTGCATCTCCTCAGGTAGAACAAGCAGTAACTTCAGAAAACTGTATGCTCGCACATCTAAGTATAAAAATTCTATGATACCATACTTAGCACGTATTTTATGTGATGAAAATAGTGTCAGGCAAGAATTAACTAACCTTTTTTCATCTAGTAAATAAACAATTTCCTCCATCCATCCTAATATACCTTCAAGTTTTACTTTTATTATTTCTATTATATTTATGGTCCTGTTGCTTCTTTGTTTTACTTTCACAATTGCAAACACCAACTTATCTCTATGACTGCTGTAATCTTTGTTTTTCCCCTCACCATATCATGGAAAGAGAACATTATATTCAATATTTGTAAACATGCTAGGATTTCTATACCGCATCGACAATACTGTGTGAAACAATCCCACGGCAATTTTCACTTGCATTATCATTATTATTACCTTAGCTGTTATCATTATTATTATTTACATTTTATGTGCTGCATGTTTTTTAACATTACCCCTATTGTAAATGTGGAAAATTTTCTGTGTGATTAATTTTATTTATAATTTGAGGAAATTAGATGCAATATCGTGATTAGTGTTGAAAATTCCATTCTGTATCACAAGTACTGTTTTTGGAATAAAGTAAATTATTAGTATTATTATTGATATTTGATTCTACCTCTTATTATTACTATTTCTATAGAAAATCAACTCACACAGACCAAATATTGAATTACAACAGAAATAATCCAATAACACACAAAAGGAATTGTATACAAACACTATTCAAGGAGGCCAGGACTCATTGCAGCACTCCCATCTTAAGGAAAATTGAAGAAAAATATCTCATGGACGTCTTCCAAAAGAATGGATGTCCAGGAAATTTCATCAAAAGACATCTACCCCAAAACCAACCTATCAAACCAAAAGCTCCCAAGAAAAGCACAAAGAAAACCGCCCTACCATATATAAAGGAAATCTCAGAGATCACTGCAATACTCTTCAAACCTTTAGGAATTGACGTCGCACACAAACCAACAAAATCACTTCACTCAGTTCTATGTCAACCAAAAGACTCAACAACGAAAGAAGATAAAACCAACATCATCTACAAAATAAATTGCAACAACTGTGAAAAACACTACATTGGCCAAAGTGGACGTCCCCTACGTCTTCGTATCCATGATCATAAACTAGACGTCAAAAGACATGACATCCACTCCCTCATATCACTACACACAGACAACCACGGACATCAATTCGACTGGGACAACGTTCAAATATTAGACAGAGGAAACACCAAGAATACTGGAGAATTTTTAGAAGCCTACCTGGCATTCCAGTGAATCATCAATAAACAGACACATCGAGATAGACAAAATTTACCAACCGATAAAAAGGAAATCTCACACACAAAGGGTCAAAGTTCAAGTCAAAGAAACAATCAGTTGCAATACAAGTAGCCTAGTAAATGTGAAAACATAAAAACAACCAATCACGTCCAAGGGCACTAGGAGAGAAGACTAATAAACTCGTGGAGAAATCTAAAAGCTCACTTCGACGAATTGAATTATGCGCCGAAGATGTTGCCTAGTAGGGTAATGAAACCTTCGCAAATTAACTATCCAGCTCAGAGAACACAACCACATCAAAATTATCCACCTGAGCTACAAATCTTCACAATCATATCTCTACCCCTGTATGTAGAGTATTCAGCTCAGAGAGACAAATCATTTCACACCACTCGATTTCTGGCTAGCTACTTCGGCAAACTAGTGAGACTACTAAATGAAACTAAGATTGATGATAACATTAAAAAGTACGTCTGTCCCCATGAGGACGACATAGATTAGTAACAATCACTGAATTCAGTTTCAAATATATAAGGTTTAATCACACAAGATCTTTGATTACTGATGAAGATAATGCATTGATGTCTGTCTGTCTGTTTTCGACATGGAACTTTGCACCAATGTGCAGCAGTTCAAGTCGCCACACTCCATGTAGAACACAAAGCATGAGAAGAAATGCATAATAGAGACAGTAGACAGGGATATGAGACAAAAGGAATAGTAATAACGAAGAACAATACAGTTTCATTGGAAATTACAAGTCACAAGGAGTGGATGTATCTGCGCCATCGAGAACGATTTTGAGCCGTATCACCGATTGTCCCCAGCTTTCATTGGTTTTTACCGTCCCGAAGATCCCAACCAGTCAGCAAGTGTACATCTTCCTACGTGGTCGGCTTAAACTAACTGTTGTAGATTATATTGACTGGTACCATGTTTTGGTTCGACCACCGACAGCTCTTTTCCAGCCTGACCCTATGTCAGCTAACATTACCTGTCGGTCGAGGAACTCGATGACTAAGCATACGTAACACATGTCCTAACCATCTCAATCGATGTAGCTCCACACCCTCGTTGATTGATTTCCCCTCCCACCTACCTAGCATTCGACCAATGCCTAACCTCAATATTGCTTACCCTATTATACCGTTTCACACGGGAGACAGAACGCAGGCACCTATGATCAAAGACACCTAACCCTCCAGGCTTTTCATGTCCTCCAACTCTCAATGAAATACACTGCAATTCCACTTCAATCTTTCTTATACAAATACTTACATGAATACACTTTGAGCTTTTCTTAGAAATTTCACCAATCAAAGTCTATTCACCATTAGAGTACACAGAGAGTAAATTAACAAAAATAGAACACAACATGCAAAACATAAAACACCTAATTATATATATATATGTATACATATATATTTACAAGCAAATAATATCACTTATTATCATAATACCAAAAAAAGAAAAGAAAAAAATACCATCATTGTATCACAAAAAACAACAACGAGTTATCACACTTTGTAAATTACCGAAAACAAAGTGACAAGTAGGATTTTGATTGACTTGTTCAAATTTATCCACATGATGGGTTTGTCCATTTGTGTTTATGTGTGTGTGGGTGGGTGCGTGGGTGTAGGCGTTTGCATGTGTTCTGACTAACATATCACAGTAAAATATGTAAATAACTTCTTACAAACGCTTCCATAAGAAATAATAAATCAACAGATGTATCCCAGTGGATAGCCGACGCATTGTCTTCAATTGTGTGCCATACTTTAGGAAAGGGAACTGGAATCAAATGAAGTATAGGGACACCTGGAAAACAAAAAGACAAACACTATTAGAAGGTAGTTATCCGATACAGCATAGTGACATGAAGTATTGGTGATTTTTTTAATTTCATAATAATATAAACAAAATAAAAAAATTTTTAACAAATAGATACATGCCATTATAAAGAATAAATGAATTATTATGATTGTTGTTGTCAAAAATACTTTTTAAAAAAACTTTACAAACCTCGTTTAAGAAATGGTATATGATCATCTGAAATACTGTGATCTAAACGACTTCCAAAAAACGGTCCTTTATATAGTCCAAAAGTTTTCAGTAGATTTAATGATCTCATTTTCTTTTCTAGTACAGAAAAACCGATGACGATTAAAAAAAACGGAAGAGAAATAGAAACATGTCACTAATCTAATTAAACTGAAAGTCATAATAACAATATAGATAGATAGATACAAAAGACTGCTTCACGTGAGCAGTTCTCTCTGTCTTCCTTTGTGTCTGGCTGTTTATTTATTTATTTATTTAAACGCAGAAAAAACTTGGTACAATCTGGCACCAAGAAAGATGCGCCACACAATAATAATAAAACAACATAGATTAAAAGTGAAAATATAAGTAGAAAGCGGATAAAGAACTTCATCTGGAAGGAAAACAGTCATGCAAGTTTAAACAGTATTCGTTAACTATCATCAGGAAGGGAAGAAAGAAGGAAATTGCAACACGTTCGCCGTTGATTACGATTCTTGGTCATATCCGATAACGTTTTGAGCAATCTCGCGGACCCTAACCAGGGAGTCGTGACACACCAACCGAGGCTAATCTAGCACAAATATCCTTCATCCCACGACACCACGTCATGGACTGACCATCCCTCCACCTTTCCCATCCCGTCCCAGGGTTAGCGAACAGAGACCTGTACGGAAGTCTCTGGGATGACATTCGCAGCACATGTCCAAGCCACCGGAGCCGGTGTTTCCAGATGACCACACTCAGTGAATGGTGATCTCCACTGTGTTCAAACACACGCCGCTGAACCTCAGAATTACTCACGCGATGATGCCATCGAACGCAAGCAATCCTGCGGAGACAGCGATGGTCGAACACGCAGAGTCGCCTCACATCCTCAGCTCGCAGAGGCCAGGTTTCACAGGCGTAGAGCAGACAGCCCACACCGAAGCATTGTATACCCGACCTTTGACAGCCAGGCTAACATCGCGACGGCGCCAGAGGTGGTACAAGTTGATGTATGCCACCCTAGCCTTCAATATACGGTTGGAAATCTCATCGTCACCCCTCCGCCAGCATTCACACGACTACCCAGATACACAAACTTATCAACAACTTCAAGCGGTTCACCCGCAAGAGTGAGTGCAAGTACAGACTCCTGACAATCTTGTAACAGTACTTTGCACTTAGATGGTGCAAAGCACATACCTTACTTACAGACACTGAGTGGCTGGCTGTGAGACATGGCCATTGAAAGTGAAAGACACGAAGAGGCTAGGTGTCTTTGATCATAGGTGCCTGCGTTCTATCTCCGGTGCTAGGTGGTATTGTGGTGAGAACTGTCTGCTAGCCAAAAGTGTAGACAACAATTTACGTCAATACAATAAATCATGGTAACCAAATTTTATCAATTTGTGATATTTAACAAAGACAAGACAATGTCATCAGGAAGAGCGTATGTCATCACATTCAGTTTGTAACTATTTTTTCCAGAACACTCTGAAACTCCATCTGGAAGCCATTATTTCTATGTGCACCAAGTTGTCACACTTTCTGTCAACATATATATGTGTGTGTAACCAAAGATTCACTTGTATCTGCGTCCAGTTGACAGGAGGTCGAACTTATTGTAAGTGCGTGTGAAGACTAATGAATCAACCTGTCTGCCGTACACTTCGGTAAGTGGAGCTGAATTCGAACCAGCGACTCAGTAGGTGGAAGTCATACCACCTAGAACAGTGAGCCAGAGCTCCACATTTGAATATATATATAAGTGCTATGCGTAACTACAGATTAAATCGAAAGTGTATCAGTCAGAATTTAAGTTATACAAATATTGGGTCTCGACACGTTGATCAGACAGCCAACCAATTAGATTTCACTACCCTGATTGTCACTCACTAACAGGTTCAATGTTACAGGATCGAACCCACGACCTTCAGGTTACAAGGCGAGGCCGTTGACTGCTCAGTAACTGGGAGAGAATCAAACGGTCCATCAGTGTTAATTGACGATGTATATATAACGCTACTGCTAGCCAATGTCATCTATCCTCATACCCAACTTGCTGGATCCTGTTGGTCACAACTTCTCAACAGAACTTCAAACGACTTCATCTTGCAGTGAACATTGTAATTAATTTTCAAGTGTTTTCAGTGCTCCCCTAACTGAGGTCAGTTCACTATCCATCTTGGACTCAGGAAATTAGAGTTGTGTCATCCAGTTGCTACAATTAGAGACATTAACAATAAGATATTCAAGTAGTAATACACCTTTTGTAAAAGCTGGATTAAGATACGTTCATTATTCAATGAAGAGTAATCAGTCAAGCAACAAAGAGGAAAATTTGAAAAAATTTGAAAATGTGGCAAATTGAAAGTAGTTGTCATAATGAATATATCAAATGGAATCCAAATTGTCTGAATAGGAATGATGAACTAAAACAAAATTTATTATGTATTTTTTTTATTTTTGTATAGCTTGACTCCACACCGTATTTTTGGTACAGGTGTGGAATTTTCAGCGTATGATACCAGTAGCCCAAATTTTACAGGTCGACTATTCATATCGGGTGTGCTTCGGCAGGGGATCGAACCTTGGACTATGTGCATGGTCGATGAGAGCCCTAACTGCTGTGCTACCGACCTGGTTACAATAACCCCCTCCTCCTTGAAATGACAAAATCAACACGAATGTGATAAACAATTCAATTATGCAAACAAACGCTACTTTTGTTGTAATTTTACACACTTATCAAATCCAACAATCTACACATGGTTTTGTTATCTTTACCAATTGGTCAATTTGACAAAGCAAAAATGCCTTCATACTGAGGAACGATGAGTAGATTGTTATATATATAAGCTGAGATTTTGTAAATTCTGGTTTAATAACACGGCTTTAATAAAGCTATTAGAGGCATTAAATAGCGAAACGTCAGTAAAAACAACAACATCGTTTTGTTTTTTCATTCATTGGGAAATACACGAAAACCTTTATTATTATAATGTATAATTAATTGCCTTTCAAAAAAACTTTCTTTTGTTTCATAGTAGTCTATTACTGCATGGTGGTTGTACAGTGTGACCAAATATGCATAAACTAACACAGTCAGTATGTATGTATATATATATATGACACTATAAAAGAGTGTGTATGATGCTGAAGAGTCTTACACTGGGACGAAACACTTCTCCAAGACTCCATGGCTTTAAATGGTTCTCTAACTGATATCATTGTGTAATAAAACTTATAACCAATCAAATCTTGTCTTTTGAGAACAAGGAATGTCAACAAAATAAAAGCATTTCTTAAATCGCATTTTCTTTTATAGAATAGTACGTCAAAGGCCTAATAAACATTATGCATTCATTATTATGGAATTTTTCTATTTCTCGATGAGTAAATAGACAAAACGATACTGTTGTTTTTGTCGACATTTCGCTATTTAGTCCTGCTAACAGCTTTATCAAAGTAATATTAAACCAGAGCTCATAAAATCTCAGCTGATATACAGCAAATTAATCATACTTCTTCACAGAATGAAGTAACGTTTTTACATTGTCAAATGGGTGGATACGTAAATATGACAAACCACATGCACAGTGTTAGATTTCAACTTGTAAAACCAGCACGTGTTTACATAATGAATTTGTTTATCATACTTGTGTTGATTAGAGGAACCAGGTAAAATTCTGGGCCTATTCAGTCAAACCTATTGAAGACAATTTTGATTCCATTTATAATATGAAGTGCTTATGATATGAGACCATCTTTTTGATTTATGACATTTTTCTAGATGATTTCATTATTGCATGGAGGATTTCATCATGAGCTGACATCAGTTAGAGAACCAGTAGGAGTACTGGAGGTCGCCTTGTAACCAGAAGGTCCTGGGTTCGAACCCCGGTGGGTGCGTACTGATGAAGAGTCGCAAACTTGACTGACGAAACAGCTGTCCAGTACTCCCTGCAGGTTATCCAGTGGTTCTCTAACTGATTTCAGCTAATGATGAAATCCTCCATGCAATCCAACAAAATCTCTACTAGACAATCGCTTGATTGTATAGTGTATGGCTGACTATTTTTTCTCAAACTTTTCTGGTTCCGTTAGATTTCTCATTGGTTGAATAGAGGCTCTACAGTATTCATTTCTACTGACATTGATTTTTCGTGAAATTTGTCACACAAGACGAGAATTAGGTCTTTTTACACGAATAAGATTGTCTGTTTTAGTGTGTCTGAAGAATTGTGATTAACTTACTGTACATATGTATATATATATATATATATACATATACGGAGGAGATCAGAGATTATGGGCAATTGTGAGGTCAGCTTAAGAGGACCGCAGAAAGTAGGACAGTGTGGAGATTTGCTGTTGAATCCCTAAATTCCACTCGGAACCTAAGGGAACAATAATAATTATTAGTAGTAAAAACAACAATATCGTTTTATTTTTTCTTCATTCACTGGGATGTATAAAATCTTTTTTAATAGTGAATATCATATGTGGTGAGAGATGTCTGCTGGCCAAAATTAGTAGACAGCAATTTACGTCAATGTTTACGTCCCAAATCTTGGTCATGAGAAAAAACAAAAACAAAGACTTCGCGTGGGCGGATACGACTCGCAGATGATATATGGTCTGACCTTCAAAAAAACAGCCACAAAGAGATAACAGAATAACTTTCAGTGAGAGAAAACAACCAATCAGAAAACGCTGTTTCTCTGTTAATAATTACGAATGATAATGTACATGATTTCCTCAATAAACGATCTGTTGCCTGGCCCTTGTATTCTGTCGTTACACATGTACCTAAATGTCAAACTTTCTCACACCAATAAATATGAACTTTGTTTTAAACATATGCAAATATTAAATATCACAATTAAAATGTCCTCTTTGTTCTAAAAATAGAATGATAATACCAACAGTTATTTAAAGTAAATGCCTGAAATGTTGAGGATCCTAAAAATATCCCAGAAAAACTGCCATAAATTGAAACGTTTCATATCCGTAATACATCTGGTTATCAGGCCTCTAATATCATTACTTAAGACTATTAATACTGTGGTGATAAGATGAGGTTAAAATTAGATTTGACATTTTAAAGAATT